GCGCCCAGGGGAGGGGTGGACAAGTCGTGGACCAATGGCCATCATGCGCAGCCCGCAGCCCAGCACGCAGGCTCAGCCACCTGGCTGCGTGGTCAGGGGTCAGGGAGGCCACGGGCCTCCTTCCACCCCTTCCAGGGCAGCTCCAGCGGACTTCCGGTGGGCTTCCCGCGGACTTCCGGTGGGCTTCCGGTGGACTTCCTGTGGGCTTCCTGCAGGCTTCCCGCAGACTTCCGGTGGGCTTCCGGTGGGCTTCCTGCAGGCTTCCCGCGGACTTCCGGTGCGCCTCCCGGGAGTTCCGGCCGGTCTCCATTCCTGTGGAAGTCCTCTGACCCTGGCACTGACCTCTGCAGCCCCTGAATCCAGTGTGCAGTTTGAATACAACAGTTGCAGAACAAACTTCGCCCTGCCCTAGCTCCTATAACTAGGACAAGAAGCTGCTGGGGCCTGTGGCGCTGGCATCCCATGTGGTTGCCGGTTCGAGTCCCGGCTGCTCCACTTCCAATCCAGCTCCCTTCTAATGCACCTGGGAAAACAGCGGAGGACGGCCCAAGTCCCTGGGCCCCTGCACCCCGGGGGGAGACCCTGAAGAGGCTCCTTCCTGGCTCCTGGCATCAGATAGGCAAAGCTCCAGCCGTTGTGACCATTTGGGGAGTGAACCAGCGGATGGAAGACTTTTCTCTCTGTCTCTCCTTCTCTCTGTAATTCTACTTCTCAAGTAAATAAATAAATAAATAAATATTAAAAAAAAAAAAGGCAGCACAGCCAGCTTCCATCTGAAGTCCCAGGTGCCCCGCAGGGCCACGGTCTCCACATCTGGGCAATGCTGGCCTCTTCCCAGGGTGGCCCAGCCTGTGGGGTCGTAGCTTCTTCCTGTAGTTGCTGGCTCGCTGGCAATGAAAAACCCTCTTTTCCCTTTTTGGGTTACCGTGAACACCTTTAGACCTGGTTAACCATTCTTTGTATGAAACCCCCACTGTTCAGATAAGACAGGGTTTCTGTGAACTGGACCCCAGTGCACCCCCCTGGGCTTGAAGCCCAGCCTGGAGCCGCCCTGGGCTCAGGTATGTCCCCGCTCCTGGAAGGACCTCCCCTGGCTCCACTCGACTGAAGTGCATCACATAAGCACAAGCCCGAGTGCATGAAGACCCTACAGGGAAGAGGTCGTGGCCGTGACCCCTTATGTCGAGGATAAGCAACTCTGTGGTGAAAACTCCTTTAAGGAAGAATCCCAGCTCATAGATGAGGGAGAATCACTCGTGAGTGCGTGCAGTCGTCACTCTTCATCCGCCGAGGGCGACGAGCCGTCACGCGTGTGTGCCTCCGATGGGAGACTTTTCTGGAAAAATCAACCCTGAATGTCTCTCCAGAAATAACTACTGGTCTATAAGAAACCAAGACAGCGCCTCCTACTGAGAAAGTGCGGGGATCCATCAGTAAATCCAGACGTTGGGAATAAACGACAAATGGCCCCAAAGAAGAGTGGCAGGTGGCTGGGGCACTGGTTAAGGCGCCACTTGAGACATCCACGCTGGCTCCCGGCTCCTCTGCTTCTGATCCGGCTTCCTGCTAACTACACCCTGGGAGGCAGCAGGTGATGGTCCACATGGTTGGGTCCCCGCCAACTCCTGCGGGTGGCCTGGACAGGGTTTTACTCACCTATGTGTGTTAGCAGATGCAAGAAAGAAGGAGAGTAGTGGAAAGCAAGCCGGCAAGGCTTAATGGGTAGGGCATCCGTCAGAACCAACGGGCGCCTCTCCAGACCAGGAAAGCGAGGTACGGGCGCCTCTCCAGACCAGGAAAGCGAGCTCACATTGTTTGATGGAGAGAACGCACCGACTGGCCTGGCGGGCGACTCAGGACAGAACGGAGAGAGCCGAGCCCAGAGAAATGCCCCTGCCCCCGATAGGCTGGTGGGCGTCTCAGGCACCGAGCTCGCAGCTGCATTCACCCTGGGGCTCATAAGGGCATGGGATGCAGGTCTTCCTACCCCCCCCCACCCGGACAAAACCGGCAGAGAGGATTCCCCAGAGAGCCTTCCTGGGGGAAGCTGGGACCAGCCGTGCAGACGTGAGGATGCCGGCTGCCCGCTCCTGCCCACAGCAGCCGTGCGCACACACAGCTTCCTACTCAATACTGCCAGTAGGGGGCGCAAAGTGGGGCGGTGTCGTTGTGGGAGAGACCCCCAGCTGGACTCGGTGTGTCCACGGGAGAGGAAGTGCAGACGGGGAGCTGCGGGGCTTCGAGCCGCCACCGGCCCCACCCAGGCAGCCCCGGGAGGCCAGGCTCCGCACACCCACGCCCCTGCAGCTGAACCACACCTGGCAGCCGGCAGCCGGCGCCACCACACCTTCCTGGAGACCACAGGTGCGCTGCAGCCCCACCCCAACCCCGCCTCCTGGGGACATTCACTCCGGCCCTGCACCACCCCTCGCCCCTTGGAAGGAGCACCCCAACTCTGCCCGTGGGCTGCCGCGCTGAGGAACGCCGTCCCGACCAGAATCTTCTCGCGCAGAACCAGCCAGTGGCGCCCATTCCCCACGCCGTGCAAGAGCCAGGGTTGTCTTTTCTGGGGTGGGGGCGGAGCTCGGGCGGGGCTGGAGGACCGGCCACTTCCGCCCGTACCCCCTGTTTTGGAACCCCCCCGAACGTCGTGGTGCCTGGCGCACGTTGGAACCAGGCGTCTGGAGCCTGCAGCCAGCTCTGTGCTGGAGGGGGAGCGGTGCTGGCAGGTGCAGACCCGTGGCTGCAGTGTGCCGTTGGTGCCGCCGGCTCCCCATCGCTCGCCCTCTGCTACCTGGGGCGAGGACGGTGGAGTGTGTTCCAGCAGAGGGGCTGGAATAGGCCTTGGCTTAGCCTGTCCCCAAGGGGAGTCATGCGCGCGCGCCCGTACGTGTTTGTCCGGTTAGTCCAGGTGCAGCGTGCGGAGGAGTAGGGCGGGCGGGAGGGAAAGTCCCCCCAGGGTTAGTGATGTGAGGAAGGAGTGGGCAGCAGAGGCCAGACCTCGCAGCCTGCAGCGAAGACAGCGGGGAGGACATCGTCACGAAGGCTGCGGGCCCCCACCCTGCCCTGGGAGGCCAGCAGCGCTCTGCTGGGCTGGGAGGGTGCCGCTGAGTCAGAGGTCTGCCCACAGCGCTGGCCGGAGCACGGCTGGCAGGCTCCCCGCCCGGGACCTCCACCTGCTGCCCGAGGGGGGCTCGCTGGGGCCTGAAGAAGCTACATCTGGGCCGAATGCCTGCCAGGCTGCGACCGGGGGCAAAGCTTGGGGCTGGGGTGGCCACGAGGCTCTCTCTGAGTGGGCTGCGCCCTCTCCACAGAGAAAGGCTCCCTCCCTGGGGAGGCGACTCCACTCCGGGCCGCCCGCCCCCGGGGGGGCTGGGGCAGCTGGAAGGCCTGTTGCACTTGGGTGCGGGTGCCAGCGCCGCTCGCCACACCCCAGCCTGTCCTTCAGCCCACCCAGGCTTGGGGTCACCTGGAGGCGGACGTCGCCCAGTCCCGGCCGCCTTTTGCAGGTGTGTGTGTGTGTGTGTGTGTGTGAAGAGATGAACACGTGTGGTCCCAGCCGCCGTGTGTGTGTGTGTGTGTAGAGATGAACACGTGTGGTCCCAGCTGCCATTTGTGTGTGTGTGTGTGTGAAGAGATGAACACGTGTAGTCCCAGCCACCGTGTGTGTGTGTGTGTGTGTGTGTGTGAAGAGACAGACACATGTGGTCCCAGCCGCCATTTGTGTGTGTGTGTGTGTGTGTAGAGATGAACACGTGTGGTCCCAGCTGCCGTGTGTGTGTGTGTGTGTGTGTGTGTAGAGATGAACACGTGTGGTCCCAGCCGCCATTTGTGTGTGTGTGTGTGTGTGTGTGTGTGTGTGAAGAGACGGACACCTGTGGTCTCAGCCACCATTGGTTGGGGGGTTGAGGAGATGGAGAGACCCCAGGACAGAGGAGGGAGGGGAGAGAGGGAGGGGACAGAGAGGGGCCGGGGGCCGAGGGGAGCGGCGGGGAGACAGGGTGCTGGGTCACGAGGGCGGATCCCCGTGGAGACTGCGCCGGGCAGCTGCGGCAGACACAGCTGAGTCACCGGTCACTCCCAGGCCGCTTCCGGGATGAGCAGGCCGGCTCGGGTTGTTTGTTTATTTTTTAGTAAAAACAACTCGCCACGTTTACCGCGACCTGAGAGCAACGCAGAGGTGAGGGAAACGACACGGACTAGTGTTTCGGAGCTGTGTCCCACACGGAGCACACACCGCCCTGCCTCCCTCGGCGGCCCAAGGGGCCACACTCGCCCGTGTGGCAGCACCAGGGCTGTGCTCCTGGCTGCCTTGGGTGAATCTCCCGGGCTCCTGGCGCAGCAGCCCGCTGCCCGGTCACCATGGCGGCAGCTGGAAGCTCGGGCCCCCGGGGCGGCTGGGCCAGGGCTGCTGGATGATGAGGCCGGCTGCACATGGGCGCAGCTGGGCCAGGCAGAGCTGAAGGAGACGGCTGGGGATTCGCCTGGATCCCCAAGCCAGCAGGAGGCCGGGCAGACCCCCCTCCCAGCCTGGTACACATCACCTGGGGCGCAGGTGGTGACTGGGGCCTGCGCCCCACTGCTTTGCCTTTTCCTCTGCAGGGAGAAGGGGCGGAGTCAGCAGCGAGTCACCGTGAATCAGGAGTCGGCTCCCCGGGGGACCAGGCTCGGAACCCGACGGTGGCCACCAGCCACGGCCCCTGCACCCCAGCGGTGGGCATGGGGAAGCCGGGACCCGGCCTGGGGGGGAGGCGGCCAGGGGGAATCCACCGGGCAGGGGCTCCAGCAGCACCGTGCGGGGAGCGGGTATGGAACACGGGGCAAGCCCAAGGCCGGAAACCAGGGGTCAGGGGTCAGGAAGAAGAGAGCCCAGGGACAGCCAGGGGTGAGCCGCAGCCCCCCATTGTGCGGGACACCTGGGTCCCTGGCCAGGCCAACCTCAGAATCCCCGTGTTTCCCCTAACTGGACCCAAGAGGCATGAGAAAAGACAAGGAGTGGAGAATAAATAATCTATTGCAATAGGAGGAATAAATAAGATATGTGCGCAGGGTTACAAATAACTATAAAAATCATAAACATCTATATACACAAAGGCCCGCCCGGTTCGGGGCGGGGCCTGGAGCCAGGGGCGGGGCCGGCGAAGGCTCCGCCCCGACACGGTTCCGAGCCGGCTCGTGGGCGCCCCCGGAGGCGGACGGAGTGGTTACCGCCGAGCGCGGACTGGCGAGTCCCTGGGCCCGCGGAGCTGCGCCCGCTGCACGAACCTCTGCACCCAGGAGCGGTGGGCAGGGAGGCTGGTGTAGACGCCCGGCCGGTCGCGCTCCGCGCAGCCCTCTCCCCAGCTGATGATGCCGGCGAGCAGCCAGGCGTCGTCCACCTGGCACATCAGGGGGCCCCCGGAGTCACCCTGTGGGGTTGGAGCGGGCGTGATCAGGGACCCAAGGCGGGAAGGCAGTGGGCAGACGGCCCCCTTCCCGGGAGCCCATTTCTCCTTCCTGACTCGAAGCCCCCGGGCACACCGCGAGGCCCGCGCCTCCCAGGCTGGCCTGGCAAGCAGCGAGGAGCGCCGGTGCGGGCGCTCTCTGACAGATGGGTTGGGCTGCAGGGGGAGGGCTTGTCCAAGCGGGGCCAGCGGAGTGGGGTGCTGAGCACCACAGAGATGCCCTGGGAACTCAGACGTGAGGACCCCTCCCGAGGGCACGCAGGCTCAGAGCTTCCGGGGCGTGGGCAGAGGGGGTGCTCACCAGGCAGGCGTCCCTCTCCCCCTCCAGGTAGCCTGCACACAGCATGTCCTCCGTGATGGCGCCCTGCCCGGCTCCCCGCCAGTACAGGCGGCTGCAGACGTCTGAGTCGATGATGGGCACCTTCAGCTTCTGCAGGGTCTGCGGGTGGGGCAGGGGCACTGGGAGCCAGGAGGAGCGGGTCAGGCCGGGGGGTCTCCCGTCCTGGGTGCCCCTCAGGGGGCTGCTGCCCTCGGCTCCCCGCAGCAGCACTTCTGCACGGCCAGTGGACAGAGTCCATCTGGGTTCTCCCAAGATGCTTTAAGAAAACCTGAATCCCTGGTCGCCTCAGGACGCGCCAGGTGCAGAGAGGAGGGTGGCCTGCGCCTCTGCGTCCCCAGCAGGCTCTCCGACGCCCACCACGGTGAGGACCCACGCCCAGCCTTTCCTGCCACTGGTGCTACTGTACCCAGCATGGGACAGCGACAGGGCACGCCTCCGTCAGTGTCCGATCCCGGGGAAGGTCTTTGCTGCTTGTCCGCGGCTCAGTCTCTGTCTGTCATCTTTCTCCTGCTGCCCGTCAGCCTCCCGCCTGATTTAAGCTGGCCTGTGCTCCGGATCGTGGTCCCAAGCCTCCAGGCCTGAGACGCTCCTGGGAACTTTGCCTGCAATTGTGGCCTTCTGCCACCAGGGGGTGCCCTTCCCACTTGGCAATCTTGGGGCTGTTTTCCTATTCACCCTTACCCAGCTTGGCCCCCACAGGTGCCTCCCCCCGCCAGTCCCTGATTCTCCTGCTGTCGCCTCAGAACGACCTGCAGTCGGCCCCCTGGGCACCTGTGACCTCACGCCTGCCACTGCTCTGCTTTGCCTCACTGGGCCTCTGCCTTCTGCTGCCCGGGGAGTCTGTCTCAGAGCCCCGCCCCCGGCCCCGCCCCGGCCAGCCCCCCGGGGAAGCCCCACCTCCTTCGTGGATGCTCCCCCAGCCTGCGATCCAGCAGTCGGTGCCGGCGGGGAGGTGCACGGAGGAGTCCGGCAAGCAGATGGGCAGCACTCGCTCGGAGAACTGCACGGGCCGCTCCAGGCGCACCAGCGCGATGTCCGCTCGGGCCCCTTCCTTCCAGGAGTACACGGGGTGGGGCAGCGCCCAGGCCACGCCCACCTTCTGGGACCGCGGGCCGGGGTTCCCCAGCTGCCAGGCCCCCAGCAGCACGGAGAACAGGGACAGCTTGCTCAGATGGCTGCAAGGGAGCGGGCGGTCAGCCAGGAAGGGTCTCTGGCCGGAGGCCTGGGGTGGAGGGGACACAAGACTGGCCAGAGGCCCAGAAGGCCCGGGTCTGGGAGCCATGGCCGCACGTACCCCTTGAAGCAGTGGGCGGCGGTGACCACCCAGCGGCTGCTGAGCAGGGAGCCCGCGCAGTGGTGGGTGCCGTTTCTCTGGATGCTCACGACCCACGGCCACTCCGCGTCCACGCTGTCCTGGCCGCCCACGATCCGGTTCAGCTGCTGGCGCTTGCCACAGGCGGGGGGCTCTGGCGGGGGAGGCACAGCACCCTCCTCCAGCCTCCTGCGCCGCAGCCTGCCCTCCACCCTCCAGCCTGAGCCAGCAGCCCTGTCCACCCCGCTGCCCTCCCCCGCCTTCTTGCCCTCATCCCCCGCCCCACTCGGCCTCCCTCCCTCCCTGACCTGCACCGCTGCTGCCCCCACCCCAGGCAGCCAGGCCAAAGCCCACTCACCAGGGATCCCTGTGGCCTGGAGGGCAGCTGAGGGCAGGAGGAGGGCAGAGGGTCAGGCCAGCGGTGGGGAGGAGCCCCCCGCCCCAGCACCCAGGGGTCCTCCCCAGGGGGCTCACTCCTGGGCCCCCTTCAGTCCCTGGGCACCGCTTCCTGGAGCCCCGGGCAGTCCGCCAGCCTCTGTCCAGCCCGTACCCCACTCTGTCCCTCCTGAGAGGGCAGGGGTGGGAAGTGGGGGTTCTTCCCCTGGATCCTAGCCCCGGGTTGCACCCTCCCTGTGACCTTTGGCCCCAGCACTGGACGTGTGGCCCCAGCTGCCCGTGCTGGGGCAGGGGTCAGGGACAGGCATGAGGACAGCTGGGTGCCGGCACCCAGAGGTGCTGAGGGCTCACCTGCTGTGGAGGACACAGAGACACCGAGAGAGAACGAAAAGGCAAGCAGGCCGCGGGCACAGCCGAGCCCGGACGCCAGGCCGGGCGCGAGGAGGGAGGGCACGGGCTCCCGGGACTCACCAGCGGACATCAGGAGCAGCAGAGACGCGAAGAGCCCGAGACAGCCCCCAGCCAGGGCTCGGAGGCTTCTAGAAACCGCCATGGCCGGCGGGGATGCAGGCCCAGCCGGGACCTGGGGGCTGTGCCGGCTGGGACAGGCCTGGCAGGTGGCAAGGTTGTAGGGTTCCCCACGGTGGCCTCGGGTTTTATCCGGGAGGCGGAATGCCGTCGGACCAGTCCCCCGGGTGGCTCAGTCAGGGCCACCCAGGCCGTGGGTCACGGGAGGGGGCGGGGCCGTGGGGAGGAAATGAGCCGTTATGGGGGCTGAGACCCCGGCCTGGGCTCTGGCGGCGGGGGGGGGGGGGGTGGGCAGAGGACTGGGGCCAGCGTTCTGGCTGCGGCCTTGAGAGGCCTCAAGTCTGGGGTGCAGGGTGGAGGGCGGCGGGCTGGCCCAGGATGGGCTTCCATTAACCCCCGGCCCCAGAAGCCGGCGTCAGGGCCACAGAGGCCTCTGGCCACCTTCCTGCTGTCCCTATAGGCGGGGCTCCGCCTGTGCCCATTGCTCGGACACAAGGCCACGAGGCCACCTCCTCACCTGGGCTCGGGTTGGGAGGTGCCTGCCGGCAGCTGGGGGAGGCTGGGGCTGCGAGTCCCTCGTGGGGAGCCCAGGGGTGGGCGCAGTGGGCGCCCTTGCTGGGTGTGGAGCGGGATCCTTGCACACTCAGGGGCCCTGGGGCCCTGTCCTTCCACCTGCAAATGCAAGGTGGCCCTTGCTGCGGCCGCAGGGGTGACGACGGCGGCTCTCCCGCTGCTCCCACTCTGCCCGGGCCCCCAGCTGGCGGAGCACCCACAGCCCTGCTCCTGGCTACAAGCTATCGGCTCAGGCAGAGGACGCATCATTGTCCTCATCGCCCAGGAGAGACTGCCCAGGAAAGGAGCCACGGCCACATGCGGACGACGGGAGGGGAGGGCGGCCAGTGAGCCACGCCGCACACCCTGCCGAAGGAGGACAGCGCGGGCCACGGCATCCTCCCCTCGGCCGCTCCGTGCGCTGCCCCTGCGAGCTGTGCAGAGCCTGCCCGGGCCCCCAGTGGCCCAGCTGCTCAGGCCAGGGGGTGGTAGCAGGACCTGCTGGTACACGGGTGCCCGGCTCTAGGTCAGAGTCCACGTACCTGCAGGCGGCCTCTGGGCAGAGACGTGGAGAGAGTCATGTGTGTCCCGGCCTGGGCCTGCACCAAGACCCCCTTCCTCCCCACCCAGGGACGCGGTGTCGCTGCGGAAGGCACCCACGCAGGGCGGCCCTGACAGCAGCCCCCTCCCTTCCTCACTTACTGAGCGCCTGCTGTGTGCCAGGCACCTCCCTGGGGGTGGGAGGCGGGGGACAAGGCGCTGCCTGCGGGAGGGTGGGTATGGAGACAGGAGCTCTCGGGGTCGAGTCTGGGGTTTGCTGAACGAATAACCAAACGTGGCAGAGGGCGCCCAAGCCCCCCAGGCTCTCCCCTGGGCTCCGGCCAGTTTCCTGTGTCCCTGCTCTCCCCGCCTTTCCCAGGACCTGGCTCGCTTCCCTGGGATGTCACCCAGGAGGGCGCCCCAGGGAGAAGAGGTGACCCTGTGAAGGCCTGGGGAGGGGCCCAGGGTGTGGAGGGCAGGGGGCGGAGACCCTGGCATGACCGAATGTTTACCGAGGGCCTCCCACACGCCAGACCCGCAGCGGACACCTGTGCAAGACCCGGCAAGCTGCCCACCCCGCCACCCACGGCACCGCGGCCCTGCCGTCCACGTGCACGGAGCCAGAGCCAAGTGACTCAGCAGCAGCGGTGGTGCCAACTCCCACGTGGGCCTGGGAGGGGCCCACACGTTCAGAAGGGGGCGGCCGTTCCCGGGCAACCGTGGGCTTGGCGCTGAGGGCCGGGCCGAGCCCCAGAGGGACCAAAGAAAACAAGACCCTGGCCCTGGGTCAGCGCTGGCCCGGGGTGGACACACCAGGAGCACCGCCTTCCCTGCTGCTGTGCGCCTTGGCTGAGACCCAGGTGACACAAAGCCCCTCGCAGTCTGGCGGGGGATGTGGTCTCTGGGGAAGGCCTCAGCGGGAAGGGCTGGGGAGGGGCTGCAAACAGGCCAGCGGCTCCCAGAGCTGAGGCCTGTGGGACACGGGGGCCGCCAGGGGGCCCTCCAGTGCGGAGAGGCCCCCGCAGGTGCAGCAGGCGGGAGAAGTCCTGGAGCCGCGTGGCTGCAGCTGGCAGACGGTAAAGTGACCGGGGCACTGGTGGGACCGGGACTCTCAATTCTAGACCCTGGACACTGCGAAGCAAACTTAACCCGGGGTGGGGAGGGTCTCCCCAGGCAGGGCCAAAGACACCCGATGTGGACATCCCTTGTCCCGGGAACGTCTCAAGTTCCTTGCTCATGGCCTCAGCCAGGTCCGGCCTTGGCTGCTACAGGCATCGGGGAGTGAACCGGCAGGTGGAAGACTGACTCTTTCTCTCTCTCTTCCTGTCACTCTGGCTTTCAAACAAATCTTAAAAAACAACAACAAAAAACGTATCTTTTAATCCACTATTCCACAACCATTTTAACACCCTCACTGACCACTGACCAGCACACTGGAAAATGGTGGTGGGGCCTAGCAGTTCAGACACCCCCACCCAGTATCAAAGCGTCTGGTTTCAGTTCCTGCTCCGCTTCGAATCCAGCTTCTTGCTAACGCACACCCTGGCAGGCAGCAGACAATGGCCCGGAGTGAGTTCTGGGCTCCTGGCTTCTGTCTGGCCCAGCGCTGACTGTTGTGGGCATCTGGACAGTGAACCAGTGATGGAAGCTCCCTCCCTGTCTTTGTCTGCCCCTCTGCCTATCAAATAAACAGTAAAAATGCTGACATCGGGGCTGACGCCCTGGCCTGCAGCGCCGGCGTCCCGTATGGGCACTGGATTGAGTCCCGGCTGCTCCACTTCTGATCCAGCTCCCTGCTGACGCTCCTGGGAAAGCAGTGGAGGATGGCCCAGGTGCTTGGGTCCCTGCACCCACGTGGGAGACCCGGAAGAAGCTCCTGGCTCCTGGCTCAGGCCTGGTCCATCCCCGGCTGTTGCGGCCATCTGGGGAGGGAAGCAGGTGATGAAAGATCTGTTTCTCCCTAACTCTTTCAAATAAAGTACATCTTAAAAGTTTTAATTTTTAAAAAATGGTTAAAATGATAAACATTGTCACATACGTTTTACAACCAAAAAGGAAAAAATCTGGATTCCCGTGTTTTTATGAAACATCAGCATCTCCCCGCCCCCCACGTCACCGGCCACTGCCCTGGGCCCACGCCAGAGACCCGGGGCCTGAGTGGGTGGCCCTGCTCTCCGAGGGCGGGGCTGGGGCACAGTAGCAGCCCCTCCTCCACCCTGGGCCTCCAGTCACCGGTCCTGGTGGCGTGGGAGGCGGCTGGGGAGCAGGGAGCCACCGGCTGGGCCGTATTTATCTGCAGGCACCGAGGAACCTGGCCTGGTTGTCCTGGGGACACAAGAGCACCTGCCTGGCCCCCCAGGGTCACCCCTCCTCTCCCAGCTGCCCCAGCGGGAACCCGCCTGACCTCCACCCGCCAGGGGCCCTGGGAGGCTGTCTCCATTGCACCCCTCTCAGTGCTGCCCAAAGCTACGCCCGCTGTTTCCAGAGAAGCCTTGCTTTCTAGAGCTTAGGGAGGCCAGCGGAGACCTCACTGCTGGCCCACCCCAGCCCTCTCCTCGCTTCTTAGCTAGGAGCAGCCCTCCCCAGGCCAGTCTGGACCCATCCCCACCCCAGCACCGGAATCCTGAGGAACTGTTTCCACCACCTTAATAAAAATTTATAATTTTATTTCTGAGAAAGAGGAGGGAGGAGGGGGAGAGAAAATGAATGTATCTCCCATCCAGTGGTTCACTCCCCAAATGCCCACAACAGCTGGGGCTGGGCCAGACCAAAGCCAGGAGCCTGGAATGCCTCCCGGGTGTCCCACGTGTGCGCCAGGGGCCCAAGTGCTCCAGCCATCACCGCCGCCCCCCAGGGTGTTCACTGAGACTTGAACCAGGCACTCTCGAGTGGGGTGCCAGCTTCCTGGTGGGCGGCTTCACTGCTGCCCCGGGGCCCCAGGTTTCCTCTTACAACAACCTCGCCCTCAAAGGAAGGTTGAGGCCAATGCCGCGGCTCACTAGGCTAATCCTCCACCGGCGGCGCCAGCACCCCAGGTTCTGTCCGGCTGATCCTCTTCCAGTCCAGCTCTCTGCTGTGGCCCGGGAGTGCAGTGGAGGATGGTCCAAGTGCTTGGGCCCTGCACCCCATGGGAGACCAGGAGAAGTACCTGGCTCCCAGCTTCGGATCGGCGCAATGCACCGGCCATGGTGGCCATTTGGGGGGTGAACCAACGGAAGGAGGACCTTTCTGTCTCTAACTCTGCCTGTCAAAAAAAAAAAAAGAAAGAAAAGAAGAGAAAAGAAAAGAAAAGAAAAGGTTGAGCCGGGACCGGCCCAGTCCTCCTTGCTCCTCCTAGGGCCCGCCCCCACCCTGGCTCCTTTTCTAACCTGCACCTGCCGGATTCAGCCCGGCCAGTGCTGCTGTCCAGGACCCAGGTACAAAGGACAGGGCCGCAGGGATCTTGCCCACCGAGACCCTCGGGCACTTCTTCCTGCCCCGAGGCCCTGGCCCTTCTGAGTGTCTTCCCTGCAGCGGCTTCCTGGGGACTTCCTGCCTCCCTGCCTCCCAGCTGCTCCGGGTTCCTCTGCAGCCTCTCCCTCCCCGGAAGCAACGCTGGGGCTGGGTCCCCAGAGTCCCACTCTCCCCGTGGACTGTTGCTCTCCTGGGAAAACGCCCTCTCGGCCCTGGGCTGGGAGTCTGGAGGGAAGCAGGCAACCCCACAGCAACATCCCTGGGCTGGCCATGGGGGCAGGACCTCCGCTGGCTGCCCGGGGCTTCCTCCGGTTGGTGGACAGACTGTTCTACCGCCTGCTGGGGCCCGGCCACCTCCGACGAGGGGAGGGAGCCGCAGCCCCCTGTGAAATCGTGTAGCAAAGGCTACAGGGCAGCATCCCGGAGCCCCCAGGCGCACCCCAGCCCAGAGCAGGGCTGCGGCACCTGCTTCCCTGGCCACCCGGAAGCAGGGCGGGGCCTCTGGTGGGAAGGGCAGGACGGAGCCAGAGCCGCCTGCTGGGAAGAGTGGGGCTGGGGAGGCGGCCAGCGGGAAGAGGCGGCAGGGTGAGCCGGCTCCCTGGACGCCACCGCCAGCCGGGGCAGCTCCTCCTGCCCTCGGTGACTCAGCCGTGACTCAGACCAGGGGGCAGGACCTAGGAGCCCTCACGTCAGAGGTCACAGCCCGGCTGTCCACCTGCC